CTTTACAAATATGAGCCACATATTAACATTGTTGTTTTTTTACTTCCTTACGTTTCCCCTAACCTCTTTTCTTAGCTGGAAGAGACCCTTCATATTGAAGGCCAAACCTTTTTACAACCTGATAAACTTCAGATGACAGATGACACTTCACAGTCGATTACCATTTGTCCACCACCAGCCACTCAACAGATGCCCACCGTGGTTGCTCCTCTTCCTTTAAAGTCAAGCAAAATTAGCTTCATTCGGCCATCAGATGCTCACTTTCCCATGCTTGGAGATGCCTTGGCTATCTGTCTGGATGCCTCGCCCGGTTTGCGTTATCAGTTAAAAGCTAGTGACTGTATCTGCAAAGACTTTAATGTGAAACATGATGAAGGCACTGTAACACCAGCCTCAATCGTCCCTGAAGCTAGTCATCCCTTAGCTTCTACGAAGAAAAAACTGGTATCAAATAATGTACCCTTAGCCACGGAAGCCTTTGAACATCTGAAGCTGTGCCCACTAGCCAAACGGAGTTCTCGTATGGCAAGTATGCCAGAATACAAGGCAGACCATCTACTCAAATCTGCCCATGATCTGTACACATTGGGAGGTTTAAATGCAGTTTCAATGGTAAGCATGACAATGCGTATCAAGAAACTGGCATTGCTGTAACTAGTCCCAGCATAAGTTTAATCACATAGGAAACGTAATACTGTTATTTGCCAATGTATAGCAAGTTAAAATCCCTTTAATTAAGTGGTTAAACTCAACACCTTTGAATTTAATTGTTATCAGAATTAAATAGTAAATATAGGTACAACTTAATTTTTACCTTAAAAGGAATACGCAAAAATCCATATCACCTAAACCTTGCCTTTGGAGATTATTCGAGTCAAAGAGATAGTTCATTGCGATACATTCCTGCATTAAAATGGTATGGTGCCGGAATTGTTCACATTTTCTGAGAAAATCTCTTGCAATAAATAAAATGAAACTAAAGGCTCTATGTGATTTCCTCTAAGGTTCATTGTATACAATTTTTAAGGATCTGTCTTAAATTTAGATATATATATATATATGCATATATATATACATATAATTATCTATTAGTGCAACAATTTTATCTTTTTCCTTTTTCATTGACCGAACTCAACGCCGCAGAGATTATGAGTCTTTGGGCTAGAAATTTAAGTACGGGGATTGACTTATGCTTATAATTTTCCTAGCTTTATCTAGTCATGTAAATGTTTGCCCTCACGCTTTATTTAGGCTGAATTAGTTATCCCTCGATAAATATTTCCCTGATTCAAAAATGATATGATGCATAAAGCTATTTCTAAGAGGGCCAGCAAGATGGTTTTTCAAAGCTTCCGATTTTACAACACTCTATGCTTGAATATGGAGCAGATTCCCAATTATCTGCTTGCATTTGCTTTTTTAGGCCCTTAGATTCATCTCTTCTTAAGTGATCTGTAATAAGTCGGCTTAGTACGTGCAAGCCAGCCAGTGTTATAAATGCTTCTTTGGAATACAATTTAGTTGAATTTTTAAGGCTTATCAATGTTGTAATTTCGTTAAGGCATTTCTGCCTTCATAATCCCTGAATTATAATATAATTATATGATGTTAAGTGTTATTATTTCTTGTATCTATAGCGTATAGCATGCCAGCCTGCTTAATAGCTAGTCCTAAAGAGTGCCACGTTTAACAAGGAGGCGCCAATTCCGATTAAGAAAAAAGCTAGAATATCAGGTAAGGTAAGGCTTAGTGCAGATTATTACAAGGAGGATTCATGAATGGCTCGATTAATGGCATAGTTAAGCTATACTTATCAAAGTATGTAATCGATAAGTGCTGTCATACCTTTCATTACGTTTAAAAAGCAGGTGAGAGGTGTTCTTAAGTTGACCTCACCTGACACCGAATAAGGATTGTTTTGGACTTGTGACCGCTGTTGCGTGCGAAGACGAACTAGACTCACCGTCCCACCGCACCGATGAATCTTTGCTAAGCTTTCGGTCTTCATGCGATGGGCATCGCCAGAGCAAGAAGCCGTCATTTACGAAAGTTTACCCAAAAACAAAACCACTTTAGGCGCCCGACTAAAATACGTATATATATGAAGAAAATGCAGGTTTCGGGTACATAAGGAAGAGATTCATAGGTCAATCTCACCAAAAGGAGCAGGCTGATTCGCATTGTACTGCAGCCCTTTGGCATTAGTACGACGTTCAGGTTAAGGCAGTCCATGAGACATCTTCCAACGTCTCGGGCGAAGACGTACTGAGCTCTCGTTCGCCATGTGACGAGCATCGTCACAGCTATGGCTCATTCTTGCAAAAGCCCCAGGTTAACACTAAATTAAAAAGACTGACCTTTTTTTCTATATGCTATATATGCTGATTAAGAGAAACAATTTTTTAGATTATTCTTGACTTCGTTATGTAATGGGAGTCTTACCAATTAAAACTACTTCTTATTTCTTAGTCCTAACTTACCTATCTCAATGAGGCATCTTAAGATTTGGTTGACTACTTCATGCCTACCTTATATGTATGCAGACAAGTGATGCTGATGCATGAAAATGGGAACGGTTGTTGTCACAACTGTTACCTAAAGTAAATAAATTATCAGACTGACGTTTATTTTAGGTTCGTGGATGCATTTGCGTTGTATGTATTCGATACTACGGAGTCAGTTGACAATTTACATCTCAATCTAGACTTAAAGTTAATCAAGCTTTATCATCTTACTCGGCTGCTCTTCCTGTTCTCTCTCTCTCCACTTATATTCATTAGCCAAAACTAGTTCTTGATTATTTTCCTACCCTCGTTCCTCATATTCTGGATGTCGTTTGTCTTTTTAATTTTATTTGACTCCCTAATCTTCTGCTTAGTTGTGACGTCTCTACATCCGGCAAAACGCTGCATTCTAGACCATTTAATCTACTGTCCTGTAGTGACTATAGGTCCAACCACTTCCGATTTATCAACTCATAAGCCCTTGCAAGCGGCTTTGAATTCAAATAACATCTAATATATGAATCGACAGGTCTTCCCAATATAGATATTACCACATGAGCACAAATCTTTATAACGGCCTGATCATGAATTATGGCTTGGAATTTCATCCAGCAGGAGATTCACCGAAACCCAGTTACTCGTCTTATGAAGAGAATAAGTCTGAAGCTTCTCTAAAAAAGATCATGACCGAGGAAAATATTATGCTTTGGTTATACATCGTCCTGAGGTTCTATTTCCTTAGTAATAAGAATAATGCTGGCAAGCTGGTAGCATCAGGAACTTGGATGGAGACTTGTTTAATTTCTTGTTTTGCCCAAAATCATTGTTCCCCCTCGTACTATGTCTTAGAATTGGAAAATTATTGACAATTAATTCTGATATATAATTGTTCTGAACTAAGATTTTACTTAGCCTTTCTAACTTCTAACCAGGTATGCAATCATAGCATTCCATATCTCAAGTACAGTTTCTTCGATAATGGCCAATACAAACTAATATGGGATGTATTCACCCAATATTGTTTAAGGTGATGAAGGACTGGTAGAAGAAGAATTTTCTCACAATGATATAAGTTGAGCTGACGTTTCCATTGAATTTCGCATAGCCTTGCTTTCCCAAAAGTTGTTCTCATCCAGGGTGGACTGCAGTTCCCTCATCACCTTAAACGAAATTAAGTGAATACATCTCATATTACTGATTTACTGGTAGTCACGAAAATAATACTTAATTCGAAAAATGAAGTATAGAAGTCGATTTTTATAGCAGATATACGTTTGTATCATCGATAATTCCAACAAAAGAATATGATAAAGCAAAAAGGCCTGGCCTTCCATGAAAATTCACATTTGTCCTGTGACCCAAAAGGCGCTCGGGGCAGTGTAGCCAAGTTATA